CCGGGTGCCAACGGCAGCTTAACGCCCGCTGCGTTTCGCTTCACAGGTGAAGATCTGGTTTCAGAACAAGCGCTCCAAATTCAAGAAGCTACTGAAACAGGGCAGCAATCCCCACGAGAGCGACCCCCTGCCCGGCTCCGCCGCCCTCTCCCCTCGCTCTCCGGCTCTGCCTCCGGTCTGGGACGTTTCAGCTTCTGCCAAGGGAGTCAATATGCCTCCCAACAGCTACATGCCTGGCTATTCTCACTGGTATTCTTCTCCACATCAAGACACAATGCAGAGACCACAAATGATGTGAATTGTCCAAGAGAAATAATCTCCCAAGAACGCCTCGTCTCGACATGGCAAGAAGTTCCCCCGCTTTGCCAAGCCGTGCCAGCTAACAGGCTCTGTGTGAACTTGTAGATGCGGCAAAGAGACAGAGTGGCTTTACTTTGTTTTATTTTTTTTAAGTAACCTCAACGATTGATCTTGAACAGAAAGACACAATTTTCATTCTGGCGCACAGAAGACACTTCTCTTTAGGATATTTTCCTTTGGACTCCAAGGCACCAGCCTCTGTCTCTGTGGAGTATACGTCAAAACAAACTTTCTACAGACTTTGCCCACAAGAAGAACCTGAATCTACCACGGCAGCCGTTTTTACTTGTTTAATGAGCTAAGGACGTTACGTGATGAAAGAGAGACTAGTCAAAGCTCCTTCATTTTTATTCACCAAATCCGGACTGGGGAAAAAAAAAAATAATGGAAGAGAGAAGAAGGGATATAAAGAAAAAAATAATAAGGGGGAGGGGGGGAAGGATGGGAACTGATTGAAAGTGAAAACGTACTGTAAGATTAAAACATTACCACGAAGCAAAACCTGCATGCTTTCTCAACACGCGACGGGCTGCGGCTCAACAGGAAGCACCATCTCCCACGCCAAGAGCCCCCCGCACCCGCACAACACCCGCACACGGCCGGACAGACTCCCGGGGACGAGCAGGACAGACCGAGCGAGGGATGGGCGGCC